GCCCGAAGTCCGCGCGCCGATGACGGCGATATTGAGGTCCTGCATGGTTGATGCCGAGTCGCTGGTGGACTACATATGTAAGTTACTGCGGTATTGCCAACACATCATCCTCCTCGTGTCAAGGTACTCATCTACTCACGCTCGAAGGCTCCGAGGCGGCATCCAGAGCCTGGCGGTCCTTGTGGTGGGTGGGCGAGAGGGGCCCCTCGGTGTCGGACGACGACTCGGCGCTGCTGTCGCCCTCCTCGTGCTGGGTGGAGAGAGTGGTGGCCTGGGGGAAGTGGTAGCGCTGGAAGAAGGCATCGTCGGCAATCTCATCCGCCTCGCTGGCCTCGTCGGTGCGGTCGAGCTCGCTGCCACCGTCGGTGTCGCTCTTGGGCACGTTGGGAGCGGAATATGCGCGCGTCTTGATGCCGGGCCGCTGGGCTGAGGTGCCCGCGCTGCTCTCTCTGCGCGGCGGCTGGGCGGCCTGTGCCATCTTGCCCTTGTCTGTCGGCTTCGAGGGCGGCGCGTGGACGGCCCTGCTGCCTCCCGTGGCGGGCATGGTGAGGGCGTGAGGGCGCTCACAGCGAGGGCGGGCCCAGGTCAAGGCGTGTGCGACGGCTGGCGGACCCCCGGCGCAATGGGGACATTGGGGGAGGGTGGACGGAGGGGGGATTGAAGGCGCTGGCGACAAGCAACGGGCGGGCTGGGGCTCAGCGGTGGGCGGTCGTGATGCTATGTCGTATGTACGGTATGCAGTATTTCAGCGGGGAGAAGTCGAGTTCATGGCAGCCAACGGGGTCTAGCTCGCCTGCACCAGACGATGCGCCCGCGTCGCTAACCAGCTAGCCTGCATCCCACTCTCTCCACACGACGCCTGAGACGCCTGAATCGCTGCTTCCAAACCCCTTGGCTGATCGCATGCCCTTTCAGATGTCCACCCTCAGTTGTCCCCTCGCAACCATCCACGACCTGGCTAGCTGCCCGGCCTCTGCGGCCCGCCTGTCACCCTTCATCTCGTCTCGCTCCGCCGCACATGCTTGGACACCTGCCCGCCAATCATCGGCCCTTCTGCCAACCCGTTTGCCCTTCCGATTGGCAGATATCGCCAACCTTATCGGCTTCTGACATTGCCTGCCTTTCGTACAAGCTCCAACTCTGACTCCATCGGCTCCAAATCTTCCGCCGCCCTTAGCTCCTGCTCTCCAAACTCTCATCGCTGCTGCTGATCGACATGATCGCCAGCTACCTTCGTGTTCTGCTGTCCGCTCCTCCACATCCCCTTCAAGCACGAACAAAAGTCATATCACTAAATTACCTGGTGCTTAAGATATTGCTAACCTTCGCCCTTATACTAATCCAGACTGCAGCGCGTCTATTCAATTTCTTCCTTGCTCAAACGGGGCGGGGTCTTCACTTCTCCCCCCAGCTCAGCGCTGTGGTTGGACGAGGCGGCGAACCACAGTGCTCCGCGCTTGTACCAAACGCGCATGTAGCTGACGCCGCAATAGAACCCGCAGCTAATGCAATGTCGTGCACCCAGAGCCCTCGTCACATCCTCCAACACCCTGTCGATGCAACCCTTCACCACTTTGGAACCGCCTGCAGAAACATGCCTCTCAGCAATACATCACATGCGCCCATTAGAGGCACAGCGACAAGTCACAATGCCCTTTTCAGCTTGACAAACTTCTTTCAGAAAGCCCTGTCCCCCTTTGCACCTCGGCACCCACTAGCTCATACTATATTGATCTGCGCCCAGGTGCCATATCTCCGACTGATCGGCGCTCAATTACACGTGTGCAAGTCCAGACGGCGGATGGCTTGACTCTGCCTAGCAGCACGATCAACGGTCGGCTGATCCCTTTGTCGTCTTCGCACAATCTATGAAATGACTCGTCGACCCCAACAGCTCCCATGTCCGACACAACACTTATCACGCACTTACAGGTCGCATATGTGCCTGCAAATGGTCTTCATGGAAGAAGGGCAAAAACACATCCCGCCACACCAGCTGGTCAGGCCTGATCGTCATTAGTACAGCATACGACCAAGAAGCTTCAATTGACTTACAGTTTCCCCTTGGGCTCCAGGTCAAATTTGCGGAAGACATGGCCGAAGCCGAGGCGCAACTCCGCCCAAGCCAGACTGCGAAAAGTTACCACGTTAGCTTCGGATCTCGTCTGAAGTTACCGAGGATCAGACTCACTTGATTCCCAGGCACATACGTGGGCCGCGCGAGAAGGCGACGAGCCACTTGTCCAAGTCCGCAGAGTCATCGAGCCAGCGCTCGGGAACAAACTCATCTGGCTTTGGGAAAATGTCGGCGTTGAAGTGGACGAATGTGCTCCCACACGATACAATGGTCTAGCACGCAATCAGCACGCGTCTTTGCGCAGAACAAAATGCAGACATACCTGCGGCGGCACTTCTACTCCCGCTATCGTTGCACCGGCTGCGGGAACGATGCGCAAAAGGCCCGCGGTAACTCCCGATGAGAGCCTGAGCGACTCCTTGATGACCGCCGTCAGATACGGTACCCTTTCGAGATCGCGGACCGTAGGCTCGTTTCCGATGAGAGATGGCCATGCCGCGGATAGTTCCGACTTGAGCTTTTGCATCTTGTCAGGATGCTTGAGCAGGTGAAAAGCGCCGACCATAAGGGTATTGCCGACGGTGTCTGTGCCACCAAACATGAGCGCTTGGGCCTCTTCATACAGGCTCTCAGCCGATGGAATCTGCTTGTCGCGATGCGCTTCCGGGTCCATTAGCCGATGGTAGATGGTCATGTTGTGAGGGAGAAGTTTGAGCTTCTCTGGGTCGTCAGTGAGTTCGTTGATCTGCTGCGAGAGTAACTTCAACATGTTAGTAGGCCGCTGCCCCAGCGAGCAAAGAACATACCTGGTTAAGATCGATCATGCCCGCTGTCAACGGGCTAAGCTTCTTGGACAGATTAGGCGGACATTTCAGTATAAAGTTCTTGAACAAATCAGAATACTTGAAGTACATAGCAACAGGGGTCGCCGCATCAAGAGCCACGACAATTGGCGCCTTGAAGTCAGGCTCATCCACCGCATGGATGGATTTGCCAAAGCAAAAGGTCGTAATGACATCTATACTCATGCAGCGGAATGCGTAAAACAGATCAACACTTGCGGAAGCCTTGCTCTGCCGCTCAAAGGCTGCACAGAGAGCCTTGGTCTTTTCAATTAACAGACCCTCGGAGCTCTCAATGGCAGCCGGCGAGAAGGAGCGATTGAGCACATCCTTGCGGTTCTTGGCCTCGGCATACGTGAGATAGCCGAAGCTAGATCTGTCCTCGTTAAAGCTCTTGTAGAGCGTCGCTTCCTTGTCCCAGCGATTCTTGTTGTTGTAGATGTCGTGGTAGGCTTGGGGGTTGGCAAAGTGGAGCTAGGCCATGATGGTCAGCGACACGTGGTGGCACCAGAGTGGGGTTCACTGCATTCTCGCGATGCTTCACACACCTCGTTGGGTCCAATACGAACAACGTCGCCTATCGTCGCGCACCACACGGGTCAGCGTTGCACATTTGTGTACTGCGTGCCAGGTCCTTCGTACCGTATTGCGCATGCAGTTCGACCAGGAAGTGGCAAAAGGACCGGTTTGCGATGCACTCAATATACGCTTTCCAGTATGTCGTAGCGCCGGCGAGAGGCGGTCCCGGAAACTTGGCCAGCGGATGGAAGTAGACGTTGTAGGTCACTGCGTACAGCACGTAGGCCAGCAGGGCTGTCAGTCCCGCGGACAGCAGTACTGCTGCGCTGGGTAAGGACTCGAAGATCGGCATTGATTGGTGGGACAGTTCGCCGGACGCCGTGAGGATAGTAGGATGAAGAAGACGACCTCAATAGTCGCGCGCAGTTCTCGCAGACGAGTCGACGACGGTATCTGCCATCCCCACTTCATTAAGGACAACTCTCTAGATTGCAAGCGACCGTGGCCAACCGGAGCACCTGGCTGATAGCGCTGGTGTCTGGCCGGTCGACTGTCTGCATGCGTGCATGTCGCCGGCGTAGAGCCGCGGTCACACGGCTGTCGGGAGCGAAGGCAGTAGTTCGAGCTGCTGGCCTGAACGTTGCAATCGGTACAAAAGGTCACGCTAAGTGGTGGCAGGGCGACCCTCTCGTTCGCACTGTTCCGATACCTGCAAACCCCTCGCTGCGACAATCTCTCATCTTGCGCCTCATAAAACATGGCCGACATTGGAGCCCAGATCGCTCATGTAAGCCGTCTCCCCATGCGAACGATTGTCGCGTTGCTAACACCAGCGTCCAGGACTCGGACGAAACCGACTCGGCATTTGGCGACGATTCGGCATCGTAAGTTTCCCAGGATGACGAAGCCGCCAACCAGCCGCCTTCTGACACGGACCGAAGCGAGACCACGTCTCTGAAATCGGCCGTATACAACTACAAGTACCGCAACGGCCGGCGATACCATGCATACAAGGAAGGATCATACTGTGGGCTGCCCGCTCGTTCCATGCCAATGCTGTTCCTAAGTGAGCACAGGGGGGCCGAATGATGAGACTTCGGCAGACCAGCTCGATATCGTGTATGGCATGCGACCCATTTGGCGAAGGACTCGTGTTGACTGGATTGGGTAGCCACCATATCTGCCTCCTCTTACTCGATGGCGAGCTGTTCCTGGCACCCATAACAAAACAGCCCATGGTACGTTTGGAGCCAGACAAGACACCATGGCTGTTGGCTTCGGGCTGACAATCGGGTACTCTAGCACGTCTTGGATCTGGGGACTGGCACCGGTATGCAAGGAACACCCTGATCGACGAACGCATAAGCTGACCAGTCAGGAATCTGGGCTATGTCAGTCTCACGTTCTCGCATGTCGACCGACAGACTGACGCGAAACCAACAGCGACTTTGCGGATAGATACCCATCGGCCGAGGTGCGTACAGATATGCGACGAAGAGTCCGTGACACCATTCTAACAAGTCCAGGTACTCGGAACGGACCTCAGTCCCACCCAACCCTCCATGGTCCCGCCAAACGTCCGCTTCGAAATCGACGACTTCACCGAGCCATGGCTGTACAAGAAAGACCACTTCGACTTCATCCACATCCGATCCCTCTTCGGCTGCGTAGCCGACTGGCCCGCCTTCTACAAAGAGTGCTATGAGTACGTCCACACCACCCCACACCTCATCAACAGCACCCATACTAACCCCGCCCCCAAGCCACCTCCAACCCGGCGGCTACATCGAACAACTCGAATTCTCCGTCGTCCCCAAATCCGACGACGGCACCGTAACCCCCGGCTCCATCTACGACCGCTGGGGCAAGCTCTCCCTCGAACTCGGCGACCGCTTCGGAAAGTCGCTGCGCACAGCCGACGAACAGCGCGCGGGCATAGAAGCCGCTGGCTTTATAAACGTCGTCGAGCATCGCTGGAAGTTGCCTGTGGGTGGCTGGCCGGCGGATAAGCGGTTCAAGGAGCTCGGGCAGTATAACAGGATTAATTGGGAGCAGGGTATTGAGGGGTGGAGTTTGTATCTGCTTACCACGATTATGGGGTGGACGAAGCAGGAGGTCGAGGTTTATCTTGCGCATATGAGGACGGCGTTGAGGACGAGGGGGATTCATGCGTATCAGGAAGTGTAAGTTGATGGTCGTTGAGGAGCTGGTAATGTTCTTGGTTTGTGCTGACGTGTTGTTTAGGTCGCTGGTATACGGACAGAAGCCACCGCGGCCAAGGAAGGATGATGATGAATGAGACGGCATGATCAAAAGTAACTGAAGAAATCGAAACGCAATTATATTGTCGCGCATGCTTCCCACTTCCGTATGATCTAATGAGCCTGTCTCAACTCCGATGCCTTCACGACAACGTCGCAACCCTTCATTCGTGGAACGATGCGCGCAGATGGAGACGATGTAGCACATGCATGCATATTGAAAGTCCAACCAAACATATTCTCTACACTACAGTCGCGCATTCCCAGCAATCTGAACCCCATTCGACAACCGCAGCCCAAACGGCAATCCCCTAACATATCTGTCCGTGTACGGCACACCCTCCATCTCCGCAAACGCCTGGTCAATATCCTTGTACATATCATATGCGTTCATCTCCTCGATCGTCAACTTCTTCGCCTCGTCTTCAACCTTGTAGTTCGCCATTGATGTGTTGCTTGAGAAGCCTACAAATGCCTTCCGTTAGTATTCGTTCTCCGAAAATGGGATGCTGATGCTGATGCTGATGGTGAGATACATACCAATGCGTTCGTTGATATTAGACGCCGCTTTCGCAGCAGAAGCCTGGACTTTTGTCGCGCGAGGCAGTCGCACTTTCTCGTAGACGGCAAGTGATTCTTGCACATCGCCTCTGAAGTAGTCTTTGCTGAAGAGGATGCCCAGGGCGGCTGCGTCTTCAATTGCCATGCACGCGCCTTGGCTTTGGTGGGGCATCATCTGGTCAAACGAATGTCAGTCTCAATATACTTCGAAATGGCATCGTGTAGGAATGGTAATGTCTTACCGGATGTGCAGCATCCCCAATCAACGCAATACACCCCTTAACAACATACGGATACGGCTGATGAACCCAAAGCCGCCACGGCCTCACTTCAATCCCAATAGCAAGGTGAGCCTTGACCTTCTCATCAAGCTCAGGATACGGCGCAAGCAGTTCCTCCACAGGCAAATCGGCACCACCCCACGTCTGATTCGCATAGTCGCCTTTCTCGCGGGGGAAGAAGCAGTAGTAGGAGAGGAGTTCGCCGCCGTTACAAGGCGAGAGGACGATCTTGTCCCACTTGCCTTCTTGGCCGCCCCAGTATTCTAGGGCGCTGTTGAGGGAGTAGTCCTCGAGGCCGAGGCGCTGGATGTCTTTTCGGAGCACGTTCGCGTGCAGGCAGCTGGATTCTGCGGGGCGCTTTTCGGGGTTTAGGCCGATTATCTTGCGGGTGGTGGAGCCGATGCCGTCGGCGCCGATGATGAGGTCGTGGTGGAAGGTGGTGTTGTTGGAGAAGGTGATTTGGTTGGTTGCGAGGTCTATACTTTGGCACTGTAACTTCTCATTAGCACAGTATCATGGGAAGATAGCCCATAGAATTCTTACCGCATGGTTCACCAACAACTCCACCGGCGTCCCCTCCCCCTCCTCTTGCAGCGCACACTCCATAAGCATCTTATGCATATACTGCCGATGAAACATATTATACACATAACCCCACCGCTCCTCGTAGTCATCAAGATCGTACACGCTAACCGGCTCGCCCGTCGTCCAGTCCCGGTTTATGAGCTTCTTCAAAACAACAGGGTCGCCTTTCTCGACGTCGACACCCCATTCGTGGAGCCACCGGGTGCCGTTGGCGGCGCAGGAGACGGATGCGCCTGCTTCGCCGGCGAAGTCGTTGCGCTCGTAAATTGTGACGGTGTGGCCGGCGCGACGGAGTGCGATGGCTGAGGAGAGGCCGCCGATGCCTCCGCCGATTATGCCTACGCTTAGGGGTTTCCAGCTGTTGGGTGCTGTTGAGCCCATGGTTGTGAGGTTCACGTCGGTGTTGTAAAGGGATGAATCGCTGAGAGACTGGGTATAGTATGGACAACGGAAGGTAGTGTTAAGAAGGCTGAATGATGAGTATGAGGATCATGAGATTGGATCATCTCGTTCTAATATACCGTATGGAATGCCATGTTCAGCTCATCTTTACGGCATCCCGATCCGGCTCGAGCCAAACGGCTGATGCGAGCCTTGCAAAATCGGAACTGTCTTATCTGTAGATGGCTGTGTGGAATTAGCAAGCACCAATATCTTGCAGAGTTACCACAGACTCCGGTGATAAGACCTGCTGTTCATGACCAAAGTTGGAAGTTGGCGAAGTTGCGTAGCCGGAGGATGTCTGTGTAACGTCAATAGACGATACGTAGCCGACACGGAAGATCCGACGGAAGTCTCATCGGATCGCTTCAGGGCTCTCTTGCGCAGTTGTACTAGTGGCTGAGGGATTGTGATCCTTCCGCGTCAAGACTTGCTGTTTACTGTACCTGGGTACCTGGGTACTTTGGGTATGCTTCGACTTCTCGAACAAACGTATTCTCCTACACCCTCTTTTTCACAAGCATCGATTCCTGAACCTGCTGGACTTGTGGCGATCGACCTTTTAATACATATACTTCTTTTTTGCTCCGCAAAGCCATCTTTGGAAAGGTCATCGCACTACGCTGGCTTCCGCATCCACCAAGCCGTACGCTGATTGATCATTAAGACTTCCTCGGTGGCAGGATTTTGGAAGGCACGCGAATACTGCTGTCGCCTTCCGTGCAGTCGTCGCATTACCGCTGCTTCGTCAGTGCAACGGGTGGTCTTGCCTGTCGGCACATTTTGCGCTCCGGAACGCTGCTTCCGTCGGATCCTGCGTCTTGACCCACTCAAACCAAATCCTCGAGATAAGAAAGATAACGCCCGGGGAATGAAGGTATGGCGCCCACGGTTGGTAAGTTGGGTAAGCAGTGTACTTTTGAGTCTTTTGAGTGATGTATGATGTTGTCGGACTAGATCTTGTCATTCGGCGAGAATTTTAGCGGCGGTCCTTGTTGTGCACCGGCCGGCCGCCATCGGCTGCTCCCAACGCAAACCCTCTCTGCACACTCGACTTCAACGTTTCAAAGCACACCTCTCGAATGTCTTATTCCGTTCGTAACTCTCTTAACTCCTACGCTATAACCACATGGTATAATAGGGGTTTCCGTCCGGCGGGTATACATTCACGAGGCCCCACGCGCCTACAACAGCGAAGGCCCATATAGGTAGGTGTACATGAGCGCTAAATCGCCTTCAAAGCTAGCTAGCAGATCTATTGTAGTGCTTGTCCATCAGAGCGCAAGCTGATCTTCCTCAGAGAAGGTGATACTTAACAAAAAGGTCCTCGATCGCAGTGTCGCCGAAATGGTTAATACCCTGGCTGCCGACCGCAGCTGCACCTTGCATAAAGGTAGGACTGATGATCTCGACCGCGTTGTCCAGCTCATTGCGCTTGCGCACGACTATGCTACCCGGCAATCCACACACCGTCAAGGTCCGATCATCGACCCTTATTTCATTTGAGCAAGCGAGTACGCAAAACGTCCCGGGTCTGGCAGAGATGCTTACATAGCAAATGCTTCGCTCAAGCTCAGCAATCAGGCTACACAAACAGATCTGTGTCTCCATGAACTTGCGAAACCATTTCGGAACCTTATTGCCATTCATCCAGAGAGTAAGGTTTGCCTCCAGACTGTCTCTTCTCGACCCGGAAAGAATCTTTCCCCAGTTGGTTCGCTCTTTGGGACTTGGCCATGTAGCCGCGGCGCTGATAGGCAAAAGCTCATGAAATGGCTTAGTGTAGAAGATAGCCCAGATCTTGCACCCTATCGCTTGCGCCCAGTCTGCCCATCTAAGCATGCTTCGAAGATTGTCCAAGTGGGCGCGTTTTTCGTCCGTCTCTAGTGCTGTGGCCGTTATGGGGCAGAAAGAAATGCAACCGCAAATGACACCCGTTTCCTTAGCAAGCACCGTCAGGACGCTTTGAGTGGAGTCTAGGGATACACTCTGATGAGCGCGGTGCTTGCTGAGTCTGTCTTCTGACTCTGGCGGATAGCTCACAGCCATTCCGTGAAGATCGGTTCCTGGGAACCCTGGCACTTCCCGCCAAGAGTTGCTATTGAAGGTAGACCAGTCAGGGATCCACGATGGGGTTCCTGGTAGCCGTCGCGCAGCAGCGATATGGAGGAAACGTAGATTGCCAGTCGTATGAATCAGGTGGACAGTGAGCTGACGATACAGCAAAGGAATCTGTCTCTCTTTCGCGACGTCATATTCCGGCTCAGAAAGATCGCTTGCTCCACGCTGGCGTAGAATGGCCCAGATACCGTATGCCATGTCTCTTGGATCAGTAGCTGCTCTCTGGTACAGCGCACCCACCAAGTCGTCTGACGCAGTCTCCTTGATATCGCCTCGATAGCTTTGATACGTGGGGCGCACCGCGAACCAGAAGAACATGAGACAGTACAGTGTTCCAAAACAACCGATGAACATGAAACCATTCTCAGTCTTGCCCCCAAGTTGAAAACGTATTCCCCACCCAGGATAATTTCGAGCGCAGATGGACACAACACCGACCAAGAGAGATATCGTTGTGTATGTTAGCAATAGACCAGTAAATGTACTCAGCAACCATCTTCGCGTCGAAAGGATCTTCTTGACGATGGTCTCATGATCGTGAAGGGTTTGGAGTACGCTACGTTCTGCCGGTCTATTGATCGATTGTAGGTTCCCCCTATCGAAGACGATTGCCTCCCACGCAATAGCGGCCCTCGGAAAGTATCTGAACGTAGTTCTTAGGGAGAGAAGTGTCCACTCGAAGTCAGACCACCGCACGTGTTCAGTTCCACACACAATCACCGGGTGGGAGGCCAGCAGGATCTCTTGATAAGTCCACAGTCGGTTCTTCCACGGCCGGTCGAAAACGTAGACGAGATCCATTCCTGAGACGTATTGCACCCGACGGGTAAACCTAGCTAGTAACGGCTTATTGTTCCCTATCTACATTAGCCTAATACATTTGGTAGACGGGTGAGTACTTACACCAAAACGGTTCCGGGTGGTGCGTGGGACTCCAAGAAGAAAGACCAAGCCGAAGCGCCGCAACGAAGGGTCGGTACTGCGGCGGTCCATCCGAGACAATCTTCACATATCTACGAAGACCGCCCTTCGCCAGGTACTTCATGACT